GGCCGAACGGACAGCACACTGGACTTGTGATCCTGTGGTCCTGGGTTCGATCTCAGGCGCCGGCGAGAAACAATGGGCAGAGTTTCTTTCACCCTATGCCCTTGTCACCTAGGAGTAAAATAGGTACCTGGGTGTTAGTCAGTTGTCATGGGCTGCTTCCTGGGGGTGGAGGCCTGGTCGAGGACCGGGCCGCGGGGACACTAAAAAGCCCCGAAATCATCTCAAGATAACCTCAAGATCAAGGGAGGAGGGGGACCTCGAGAACCATCCCGTCCTCCTGTTTCGGGAGTACTTATAGTACTCCCTAGTATTAGTACTATAGTACTAGTATTATAGTACTATAATATAGTACTTATAGTGCGATAAGGACCATCGCACATATATTAACGTAAAAGCCAATTACACAATATAAAATGGTACTATTGAACTTGTATAAACTGTAAAAAGTTTTGTACTGATGTTGCAAAGAAAACTTAACCTAACCTATCATTTTTAGGCCTAATATACGCTATCTGAGGCCTAAAATAGTTTGTAGCTTTATTTTTTTCCGACTATAAAGTGAACAATACCAAGTTCTACTACCTAATTACCCATTACGTCTATGTGTGTACAATGGTCCACATAGTTACAAAAAGTACCATTTAAACAGGAAGATGAGCTGTGATAACCCTAACACGCTTCACGTTCCCGACCATGGAGAACCATTCATACTAAATGTCAACCTTCTCCCCCCCCCCCCCCCCGCTCTTCCCACTTGACCAGACATCTAGGGCAGTCGTGGGGGCCAGCCAGCCCTGAGTAGACATCCAGGGTAGTCGTGGGGGCCAGCCAGCCCTGAGTAGACATCCAGGGTAGTCGTGGGGGCCAGCCAGCCCTGACCAGACATCCAGGGCAGTCGTGGGGGCCAGCCAGCCCTGAGTAGACATCCAGGGTAGTCGTGGGGGCCAGCCAGCCCTGAGTAGACATCCAGGGTAGTCGTGGGGGCCAGCCAGCCCTGACCAGACATCCAGGGCAGTCGTGGGGGCCAGCCAGCCCTGAGTAGACATCCAGGGTAGTCGTGGGGGCCAGCCAGCCCTGAGTAGACATCCAGGGCAGTCGTGGGGGCCAGCCAGCCCTGACCAGACATCCAGGGTAGTCGTGGGGGCCAGCCAGCCCTGAGTAGACATCCAGGGCAGTCGTGGGGGCCAGCCAGCCCTGACCAGACATCCAGGGTAGTCGTGGGGGCCAGCCAGCCCTGAGTAGACATCCAGGGTAGTCGTGGGGGCCAGCCAGCCCTGAGTAGACATCCAGGGCAGTCGTGGGGGCCAGCCAGCCCTGACCAGACATCCAGGGTAGTCGTGGGGGCCAGCCAGCCCTGACCAGACATCCAGGGTAGTCGTGGGGGCCAGCCAGCCCTGACCAGACATCCAGGGTAGTCGTGGGGGCCAGCCAGCCCTGACCAGACATCCAGGGTAGTCGTGGGGGCCAGCCAGCCCTGACCAGACATCCGGGGCAGTCGTGGGGGCCAGCCAGCCCCGACCAGACATCCAGGGCAGTCGTGAGGGCCAGCCAGCCCCGACCAGACATCCAGGGCAGTCGTGAGGGCCAGCCAGCCCCGACCAGACATCCAGGGCAGTCGTGGGGGCCAGCCAGCCCCGACCAGCCAACCTGCCTAGTTTTCACCTAGCAGGGTAATCAGGCATTCCGGTACCATCTCCCCACTCTTCTCTAACATGCCACACCTACATCCCTCACCCCTCCCCCTCCCTCCTGTGTCGGACCTAACTAGGGCGGCCTTGACGTCACCTCAAAATTGACGATGAAAGCCAAGACATTCTTGGGGATATACACATTGAAAGGTGCATCCCATACTAGTGTGGATACATTGAATGTTGACTTTAGTCTTGGGTTAAGTTCAGGGGTAATGTATATTGATCATTGCCAGTGTCGAGGTCCACCCAGCTAGCATCAGAAATACTTCTAGAACAAAGGTGGATTTATTCAAGAGACACTTATTCAAGTTCTTACAAGAAGTGCCGGATCAACTTGGCTATGGTGGATATGTTGGCCTGGGGGCCGCTCCAAGCAACAGCCTGTTGGACCAAGTTATCACAAGTCGAGCCTGGCCTAAGGTCGGGCTCGGGGAGTAGAAGAACTCCCAGAACTCACTCTCCAGGTGTGCTCCAGGTTCGTATCCTGGCCGGGGAGGATTGACTGGTCGTCAACCCTTAACTGTAAGTTATGTTGAGTTGATTTCGGGGCTTTAGTGTCCCCGCGGCCCGGTCCTCGACCAGGCCTCCACCCCCAGGAAGCAGCCCGTGACAGCTGACTAACTCCCAGGTACCTATTTTACTGCTTTGTAACAAGGGCATAGGATGAAAGAAACTCTGCCCATCGTTTCTCACCGGCGCCCGGGATTGAACCCGGGACCACAGAATCACGAGTCCAGCGTGCTGTCCGCTCGGCCGGCCGGCTCCCTACTCCAGCTGTAGCTTCTGTTCATCCAGCAGTGAATGGTTACACGATCGTTAAACGATTTGGTGGGTCGTATTCCGGGCAAAAAATTAGGATTAAGGACTTGCCCGAAATGCTATGCGTGCTGGTGGCTGTACAAGAATGTAAGTCCCAGCTGTGTCTGGGGTACAAGTGACAGGATGAACAACCCAGCGGGTTTTCTTCCTATCGGGGAGTGTTGTACATGCTGCTATGGCGGTGTGTTCACTCATAGGATGAGTGACGCTGCCCAGTAAACTCGCCCCTCGGGGGAAAATTTAAGGAAAAAAAGGTAGTGGTGCTAACCCTGCTTGTGGTGGGTGTGGGGGCAGGAACACCGGCGAGGCTCGCCACCACCCACACACCTCATTACTGCTACTGACTAGGTAACCTACATACAGTACCTGGCACCACCACGCCACTACCAACACCAAGTCCCCGCTCCCAAGACCAGGCCAGTCACCAGCAGCAGCAGGAAGTCCACTACGAGACGTGACTGCTGTAACACACCAATGTTACAAAAATTGTTTTCTGTAAAAATAATCTGGTGCAAGACTCCCCTGGGAGGGGGGAGGGGGGGGGGTCCTAAACACAACAACAGTGGACAACGGCAGTCGTCCTTCACACACCTTGGTCGTGTGAGCTGGTCGTGGCGGCACGCGCACTGGTCGAGTTTGGGGTGGGGGTGGGGGGGGGGGGCTGACTCTTGGGGGTGGGGGGATGGATGAGGAGGGGGGGGGATTTTGTTTTTATAACTTATTTTCTACCAGAGAGATGGCCATTTCTTGACATTTACAATGGTAACCAGCATAGAGTATATTTTCTTGTCCCTCATGGAGAGGGTAAAAGAGATGTGTTATAAATTTAGCGCAGCGGGATATTGAGCACTCAACCGCGTAGTGTGATTGTAAGTAAGTAATGATCAAAGAGAGCACCAAGCCTACACGGCTATGTAGCACCAATAGCGTGATTGTAGTGTTTTAACAGTGGCAAATTACAATTCTAACCTGCATATGTATACATATAATTTTACGTCCTACAGTACAGTACTGCAGTCTTGTACAGTACAGTACAGTACAGTACAGTACAGTACATAGTAAGGTAGAGGAGTGACTCGGCCCTCAGTCATGAGGCTATGCTCGTCCCACAGGCGCCTGACCCCCAGAGATACCGTAGCGCCGCTCTCTGTATTATTCACAACGGGTTTATTCTCAAACATGAATTACTATATTAGAATTCGATGTATAATTAGGCCTAGATTTAGTTAAGTTATGCGTTTAGGTTCTACTTGCAATTATTTATATATAAAGTGCATTTTTGTGTCTAAGTTGCATTACTTGTCCATTTTCTTTGGTGAATACCAGATTACTTACCTATTTATGTGGTTGTGCACCTATAATAGGCTTACAAGTTAATACGGAACACAACCACGTTTCATAATAGGTAATAAATATATCACCAGATCTCTCAAAAATGCCCGCACGTTCATAACTGTGTAGCCTCATACTATTTTGTAGTGGAAATAATAAAGTGGCCATGAGACCCGTGTGGAATATTAAACTGACATCTCTGATATCTATTAGGCACATCATCTTGTATATTGTAGGAGATACAACATGCTCAGTGATCACTGATTCATATTATCTTATAGAGGTTCAATTCCATTACATTATTATTATTATTATTATACACATATTTTATGTATTTACATCTATTCTCGTTGTTAGTACTGCAGTTTCTTAACCTAATATGTCTAGCCTTAAACTCTCCCATGTATAATACAACCCGTCCTCCTAATAGAACGTCGCATTTTGACGTATAGTCTACATAAGGCCAAAAATTGTCGTACTAGAAAATGGAAGCGGCTCGCGAAATTTACACTGTCCCGTTTCCGGTTTTGATTCCTCTGGTAGGTTAGGATAAGGGCGCTTTGGTACGACAGTTTCTTGACGTTGGGGAAACCTTAGGAGAACGGGCTGTATATTGTCCCACAATTGTCTGGATCTGGGAGCAATGGTATACTGACCTTCTGACTTCTGGTATATACCTTAAGGAATGAGAAATGGCCTGATGCATGTTGTTTATGGAAGTGATGATATACTGTGTGTACATTGTTTGATGGACTCACGAGGGCATGCGGCAAGTCACTTCTAATATATTTTAGTAGATCTGTGCTATTATTGTTTAAGATAAATATACCCTGCGATCTTTGGTCAAATGTTGTTTATGTTCGATGTATAGCAATTATGGCAATGTTATTGCTGGTAACGTGCAGTTTCGCCATTCCTTTTTCAGTTTAGGCTGTGAATGATCTAACTGAGAAACCAAACTGTCAATGTAACTCGTTGTGGCGGCAGCGTTGTTAGTCCTTGTTCTGCTCGACTCTCTTATATGGTGGTTGAGATGTTACGCCTCTACGACCCTCACAGCCACACAACAACCTGAGGGTGGGGGTTGGGGGGGGGGGGTGTGGAGACCCACCTGGAACCTGAGGGTGGAGTGGGGGGGAGGGGGGGGTGGAGACCCACCTGGAACCTGAGGGTGGAGAGCTGCTGATCACGGTCCAAGGGCTTGACTAGCTGGAGGCGGCGGCCGTTGAGTATAAAGTATTCCTTGCCCGGCTCCGTGACCTCCAGCTGCACCTCCGTCTGCGGGTCGCCCTCCACCGGCACCTCCGAGGGCGACGTCAGCTGGTCCACCTCTGCAACACACACAAGTATAACTTGAGTTACTCCATGCGGCCTCCTGACACACAGGTACCTTAACACCACCAGCAGCCACAACACGCAAAGGGAGTGGCACTCCTCATGGAGGGGGAGTGGCACTCCTCATGGAGGGGGAGTGGCACTCCTCATGGAGGGGGAGTGGCACTCCTCATGGAGGGGGAGTGGCACTCCTCATGGAGGGGGAGTGGCACTCCTCATGGAGGGGGAGTGGCACTCCTCATGGAGGGGGAGTGGCACTCCTCATGGAGGGGGAGTGGCACTCCTCATGGAGGGGGAGTGGCACTCCTCATGGAGGGGGAGTGGCACTCCTCATGGAGGGGGAGTGGCACTCCTCATGGAGGGGGAGTGGCACTCCTCATGGAGGGGGAGTGGCACTCCTCATGGAGGGGGAGTGGCACTCCTCATGGAGGGGGAGTGGCACTCCTCATGGAGGGGGAGTGGCACTCCTCATGGAGGGGGAGTGGCACTCCTCATGGAGGGGGAGTGGCACTCCTCATGGAGGGGGAGTGGCACTCCTCATGGAGGGGGAGTGGCACTCCTCATGGAGGGGGAGTGGCACTCCTCATGGAGGGGGAGTGGCACTCCTCATGGAGGGGGAGTGGCACTCCTCATGGAGGGGGAGTGGCACTCCTCATGGAGGGGGAGTGGCACTCCTCATGGAGGGGGAGTGGCACTCCTCATGGAGGGGGAGTGGCACTCCTCATGGAGGGGGAGTGGCACTCCTCATGGAGGGGGAGTGGCACTCCTCATGGAGGGGGAGTGGCACTCCTCATGGAGGGGGAGTGGCACTCCTCATGGAGGGGGAGTGGCACTCCTCATGGAGGGGGAGTGGCACTCCTCATGGAGGGGGAGTGGCACTCCTCATGGAGGGGGAGTGGCACTCCTCATGGAGGGGGAGTGGCACTCCTCATGGAGGGGGAGTGGCACTCCTCATGGAGGGGGAGTGGCACTCCTCATGGAGGGGGAGTGGCACTCCTCATGGAGGGGGAGTGGCACTCCTCATGGAGGGGGAGTGGCACTCCTCATGGAGGGGGAGTGGCACTCCTCATGGAGGGGGAGTGGCACTCCTCATGGAGGGGGAGTGGCACTCCTCATGGAGGGGGAGTGGCACTCCTCATGGAGGGGGAGTGGCACTCCTCATGGAGGGGGAGTGGCACTCCTCATGGAGGGGGAGTGGCACTCCTCATGGAGGGGGAGTGGCACTCCTCATGGAGGGGGAGTGGCACTCCTCATGGAGGGGGAGTGGCACTCCTCATGGAGGGGGAGTGGCACTCCTCATGGAGGGGGAGTGGCACTCCTCATGGAGGGGGAGTGGCACTCCTCATGGAGGGGGAGTGGCACTCCTCATGGAGGGGGAGTGGCACTCCTCATGGAGGGGGAGTGGCACTCCTCATGGAGGGGGAGTGGCACTCCTCATGGAGGGGGAGTGGCACTCCTCATGGAGGGGGAGTGGCACTCCTCATGGAGGGGGAGTGGCACTCCTCATGGAGGGGGAGTGGCACTCCTCATGGAGGGGGAGTGGCACTCCTCATGGAGGGGGAGTGGCACTCCTCATGGAGGGGGAGTGGCACTCCTCATGGAGGGGGAGTGGCACTCCTCATGGAGGGGGAGTGGCACTCCTCATGGAGGGGGAGTGGCACTCCTCATGGAGGGGGAGTGGCACTCCTCATGGAGGGGGAGTGGCACTCCTCATGGAGGGGGAGTGGCACTCCTCATGGAGGGGGAGTGGCACTCCTCATGGAGGGGGAGTGGCACTCCTCATGGAGGGGGAGTGGCACTCCTCATGGAGGGGGAGTGGCACTCCTCATGGAGGGGGAGTGGCACTCCTCATGGAGGGGGAGTGGCACTCCTCATGGAGGGGGAGTGGCACTCCTCATGGAGGGGGAGTGGCACTCCTCATGGAGGGGGAGTGGCACTCCTCATGGAGGGGGAGTGGCACTCCTCATGGAGGGGGAGTGGCACTCCTCATGGAGGGGGAGTGGCACTCCTCATGGAGGGGGAGTGGCACTCCTCAGGGAGGGGGAGTGGCACTCCTCATGGAGGGGGAGTGGCACTCCTCATGGAGGGGGAGTGGCACTCCTCATGGAGGGGGAGTGGCACTCCTCATGGAGGGGGAGTGGCACTCATGGAGCGGGAGTGGCACTCCTCGTAAAGCGGAAAAGGAAATTTGAGGAACTTGGGAATCGGGGGATTAATGGAAACCGAAGCTTGGGATTGTGACAGGTGAAGGGAAGAGGATTGTGATCTTGATAATCAACACTCCCTCACCGAACAGTAAAAGGCCCAGACAGGAATATAATGATGACAACAAGACATGTCTAGATGTACTGCAGAGAGCAGTAACAACAGATCACAGAATGAGAACAAAAGTGTTGGTCATGAGGGACCTCAATCACGGAGAGAACGACTCGGAATCAAGAAAATCCCCCATTGTGGGGACGAAACGTGGGGAGCAAAATTAGTGGAAGTTATTGACAGGAATTTCATAACACGACATGTGAAGGAAGACTCAAGGGAAAGAGGAGGGGGCCTATTAACACCGAGCCTATTCGACCTGATTTTCACCCAGAATGAGGAAGACATTACGAATATGGAACATCAGATTCCACTAGGAGCCAGTGACCATTGTGTCCTAGTCTTTGACTACACGATCGAGCTTAAAATTGTGACCACGGGGCAAGAGGTCTGGGAAAGGAGAGTAGACTATAGTACAGGGGATTTCAGAACAAGAGAATATCAGGGAGAAGTGCAGTGGGAAGAAGAACTAAGAGGAAAAACGATACAAGATATAATTAACCTAGGCAAGTGGAAATGCAAGGAGGCCGAAGAGAGATTTATTCCAACAGTAAAGGAAAAAAGTAGGAGGGAATATAATAACCCATGGTTTAATAGACAGTGTCAGAAAGCAAAAATGAGAAGCAGGAGGAAGTGGAGGAAGTACAGAGGATAAAGGATAGAGAACAACAGGATCAGATGCAACAGAGCTAGAAATGAAAATATTGATATAAGGAGAGTATCGGAAAGGATACTCTCCTTATATCAATGAGAACGATATTGGGATCAAAGCGAAAAAAGCGACCTAAATTACTACATAGCCAAATAAGAAGGAAAATGTCGGTGAACGACCAAGTGACAAGACTAAGGAAGACAGAAGGGGCATATACAGAAAGTGATAATGAAATCTGTGAGGTACTGAGTTCCAGTTTTCATGGAGTGTTCACAACCGAGCCTGAGTGCTCCCATTGTTAGAAGAGATGACCCAAGATGAGAGACTAACGAATATAGAAGTGACAACAGAGGAGGTAATGAAACGGCTAATCACACTGGATGAAACTAAAGCTGTTGGGCCAGACAATGTATCACCGTGGATACTAAAAGAGGCAGCGCAGGCCCTCAGCGTACCTCTGGCAAGGATCTATAATGAGTCACTTACGAAGGGAGAGTTTTCCAGTTGCTGGAAGAAGGCAAATGTGGTATCCATTTTCAAGAAAGGAGGTAGGCAAGAGGCACTTAACTACAGACCAGTATCACTGACAAGCATCCTCTGTAAAGTACTTGAAAGAATAATCAGGTTAAGACTGGTCACACACTTAGAGAAAATTTAATATGTAAACAAACACGAACATGGGTTCAGAGAAGGGAAATCATGCCTAAAAAACTTTCGGGAATTCTATGATAAAGTAACAAGAATAAGGCAGGACAGGGAAGGATGGGCAGACTGCATATTTCTGGACTGCCAAAAAGCCTTTGATACAGTACCACACAGGAGACTGCTATTCAAACTTGAGAGGCAGGCGGGAGTAAGTGGAACAGCCCTAGTTTGGGTAAGGAATTACTTAACAGGAAGGAGCCAGAGTAACAGTCAGGGGCGTGAAGTCAGACTGGTGAACCGTAACGAGTGGAGTACCTCAAGGATCGGTGCTGGGACCAGTTCTATTAATAATATACGTGAACGACATGTCTACAGGAGTCGAGTCCTATATGTCGATGTTCGCGGATGACGCGAAATTATTGAGACGAGATGTGACAGATGAGTATTGTAGGATCCACCAAGAGGACTTACACAAGCTGCAGAGATGGTCAAAGAAACGGCTACTGGAGTTCAACACGAGCAAGTGAAAGGTTATGGAAATGGGACTAGGTGACAGGAGACCAAAGGAACAGTACACAATGGAGGGAAACTACCTCCCTGTGATGATTCGAGAAAGGGACTTGGGACTGGACGTAACACCAAATCTAACTCATGAGGCACATATAAACCAGATAACGACAGTAGCGTACTCTACGCTAGCAAAAGTTAGAACGTCATTCAGAAACCGAAGTAAAGAGGCATTCAGAGCGTTTTACACTGCCTACCTAAGTGTCAGGCGCCTGCCAGGCGCCTGACAGCTGGGTGAACAGCACTTCGGATTCATAGTCCTGAGGTTCCGGGTTCGATCCCCGGTGGAGGCGGAGACAAATGGGCAAAATGTTTCTTTCACCCTGATGCCCCTGTTACCTAGCAGTAAATAGGTACCTGGGAGTTAGACAGCTGCTACGGGCTGCTTCCTGGGGGTGTGTAACAAAAAAGAAGGCATGGTCCAGGACCGGGCCGCGGGGATCCTAAGCCCCGAAATCATCTCAAGATAACCTCAAGAAGATAACGTACGTGAGACCAGTCTTAGAGTATTCAGCCCCATCATGGAGTCCCCTCCTTAAGAAACACATTAGGAAACTGGAAAAGATTACAAAATTTGCAACGAATCTACCAACTTATCTTGTGGCTCTTAATCCCGGAGTTGCAAGAGATGGGATATGAAGAGCGACTGAAGGAAATGAACCTGACCACGTTAGAAAAACTGGAGGGAGCGGGGAGATATGATACTAGCATACAAAATATTTAGAAGGATTGATAGAGTGGAAATAGACGAAATGTTCGCACAGAATACCAACATAACAAGGGGACAATGGGTGGAAGCTGGAAACTCAGATGAGT